AATAGAACAAATTTTAAATTAGTGTGAGGTGCATCTTTTATGAGGTTTTGTCAAAAACAATTTTCATATTATTAATAATTGAAAAACTGTAAATAATTTAATTTTACGGGTAGAGAAGAGTTTTATATAAAATTATAAATGCTAATAATGAGTAAAATCTTCAAGAAGCCCGACTCCACTCCAGTTATGACATGTAATCCCTTTCTATCTTCCCACTCCTCAATCTATAACCACCAAAATTTAATAGCATCAATGCCCTTTATACACAAGCTACTGCATGAAATTTCGTTTCTTAATCATTACCCCATTGTGAGATATTAAACAAAATAGATGCCAACACACATGGATTTTTTTATTTGTCGTTTTTAGATATAGGAGGTCTCAAAACACAGAGATTTGCAAAAAACTCTGAGGATCAAATAAGACACAATTCCAATATTTTCCCATGTTATGTACATAAGCTGGGAAAGTAAAACACTGTTTATATTTATTATTCATCAATAAATCTTGTAATCTGTTACAAAGCTATAAATTTATTAAATTGTCCCTTAATAAACTTTCCAAATTTTATAAAATATTAACAAACTTGAAAAAAATTTAATCAGTAATTTTGTTACATTATCATTTAAAGACCTCAAAAGTCATGTAATAACAAAATTTTCAACGTGCAACAAGAGAAAGATGTTATGGACATCACAATTTAAGCATTTAAATGTTAATTAATGAAGTAACTAACAGGTTACAACTTGGCGTCACAAAAATGTTGTTACTGATAACAGAAAAAGTGATATATCATCAAAATAGTTAGAAAAAAGTGACTAATTTAAAAATAGTGAGAATAGTGATCTGTTCCAATACCTGAAAATAGCAGTAATTCAAAATATTTAACATTTTATTAAATAATATAATTTCTTACATTTGCTTTTTGTTTCAGATGTATTTCCTTCAAATTCAATTTCAGTTTCTGAATCCAATTCTTCTGCAGTCTAGAAAATAGTAACAACCAAATTTATTAAAAAAATAAACTGCTTAAAAGTTAAAAACAATTTCTAGATTATGGAATATATTTCACAATATAAACTTTAATTCTTTACTTATGAAAACTTAGTTTAACATACATACATAAATTGTTACATATGACAGTCATAATTAGTTTCTCAAACATAGTATTAATTCTCAAACTGAAACAAAAACAATAATTAATTAAATTATTGTTTTTGGTGTTTGATAGAAATATG